CACATACAATATTATATTAACATAATTTATATATTTATACCACTTAATCTAATAAAATTAACCAAAATACTATAGCACTTTACACTTCTTAATATTGTAAGTAAATTAACTGGTTTGTCTATGCAATTGCACTCATGCAGCTTATTCAACATATCTTGTCTGTTTTTTTCAAATAGGCCACACTCCAATATTAAATGTTCACCACTTCCAACTGCTTTACCACACCTACATGCATTCGAAGCTGCAACACCTATCCGATGCAGGTGTGATGGAAAGCTTCCATGGTTTAATCTTAACCTCGTTAATGTTACTAAGGTTCTTCTATCCTCGAATTTGAAACTTTCTTGCCACATTCTGCTTCCCACTGCTGGATTGCATATTCTATAATATGCCCCTCTAGTCTCATTTGGATCGATCCATACTTTTTGCCACTCTTTAAAATTTCTATTTTTACACCGTTTCACATAATCCTTGTATGTTGCTACGTGCATAATAGATCCATTTTTTGTTGCTTGTTTTGCTAATTTATCAGCTATTTCATTTCCTTTGATTCCTGAGTGAGCCTTAATCCATATTATTTTAATGGTATACCCTATTCTTATCAGCCTATTAATATCGTACCACACTTCATAGAACAATATATCTGATGTCTGAGTTTTGTTGTATAAATTTTGTAGAGTTTCTATACTACTTTTACTGTCGGTGAATATAACTGTCTTCATTATTTTGTGCCTTTGAATTAACTCTATTGCCTTTTTAATAGCAAAAATTTCCGCAGTAAAAATTGAAGCAAAATCAGGCAGTTTATATCCCAACTTAATGTTCAAATTTTCCAAATATATTGCACAACCCACTTTCTGATCAAGCTTAGATCCATCCGTGTAAATTACATTGTAATCTCTTATTTTTGTCATGTTTATATTAAAAATATCATCAGAAATGCTATATATATCCAGATAAAGTGTATTATAATATGGGTGTTTTGTATAATTGATACCTTCCTCTCTTATTTTATTTACATACAAATAGCTATTAACTAGGCATGGTTTTTTTCGCTTTTTCCAATACTTATATATTGTAGTGTCTATTGAAATTTTACCTACTTTTTCTATAATTTGATTATCCTGTATTATTATTTTTTTAAGTATAAATTTGTCACAAATGAACTGTCGTCTTAGGTATAAAGGCATCTCCCCACTTTCCACCAAAAGGGCATTAGTGGGAGTGGATCGCATAGCCCCCATACAAATTCTCAAACAGTTATATTGAGCTTTGTCCAATACCCTACAGTAAATCGAATTATTAAATACAATACATCCATAATCAAAAATGGGTCTTATTAGTGTTTTATAAAGATTCAAGGACGCAATAGGGTGTGATCCCCACCATGTACCATTCGTCATTCTCAAAATATTTATTCTTTTTTCTACTCTTTTAAGCACATAATCCATGTGTTGTTTGAAAGATAACTTTTGATCAAATATAACCCCTAAGAATTTGTTATATTTTTGTACTTTAATGATGTGATATTTACTATTTATCTTATCCACATGATTAATATTTCTGTGTCTTGTATAAATACCAATTGAACTTTTATTATCTGATAATTCCAGACCTTTCTCTTCCAGCCACACATGAAAGCGATCAATATTCTTACTCATTACCTCACAAGCTTCTTGCAGGCTTGCTTTTTCTACGTAAATAACCACATCGTCCGCATACTGCAAAATTTTTGTTTCTGGCTCCAAGATCCCTTCTATATCTCTTACGTATATCGCATATAATAAAGGGCTTAAAATACCTCCTTGTGGTAATCCTTTATATATTTTTCTTGGTCCAATTATTTTACCATTTATCCTAAAATATACTTCCCTTTCAAAGATATTATTAGTAACTGCCCTAATAAAATTACATGGTAATCCGATCTTTGACATAGTTTCTGATAATGTTTTAGGTAAAACATTATCGTATGCACCCTTGATGTCACTAAAAAGTGCCACAACATACTTATTTTTCGTAAAGGATATATGTAAGTCACTAATAAAATTACTTAAACTATCCTGTGTTCCCATACCCTTCCTAAAGCCAAATTGACTTTTTGGTAGTATTCCATATTTTTCACTCCACCACTCCAGTCTTCTTTTAATCATTCTGTCCTTAACCTTTGAAACACAGGATGCAAGAGAAATCGGTCTATACGTGGAGATCTCATTCGCATCTTTATTAGGTTTTTTGATTAAAATTGTAATATACTTATTCCAGGCCCCAATTACTTCCGGATTTGTCCATACTTTATTCAACAATTTTAGTAAAATCTCTTTTGCCACCATTGGCAAGTTTATGAGCATAGAATAAAATATTCCATCCATACCTGGTGCGGTATCAGTACCTTTAATTAAAGCAATTTCTAATTCCCACAATGTAAAAGGTTTCACTAATAGGAATGTTTCGCGTCCAAAAACCTTTTTATCCACATTGAAATAATCATTTCTAACACTAGATGGAGCATAAGTATCAATAATATTATCAATCATCATTGGGTTAACGTTTTCTTGTAAATTTTCAGGTTCTATATATTTTTTCAAACATTTAATTGTTCTAAATACTTCCCTGGTAGACGTATTTGGTTTGATATTATTTGTATATTCATGCCAACTATCTCTCTTCTTTCTTCTGAATATCGTTCTGATTTCAGCATTAATGTTTTTACATATTAAATAATTATGGTAGTTAGATTTCTGCCTATAATTTTTTTCTGCGTCTCTTCTTTTCCTAATAAGTTCGTCGCACTCATTATCCCACCAAATAGGTTTAAAGTGTTTGATATTGGACATATTCTCTTTTTTGGTATACTTTTCTCCGCTGCAATATTGATTATGTTCATAAATTCTGTATAAGCAACAACCGGGTCATTTACTTCAAAATCATTTGAGTAATACTCAATTACTTTTTGATATTTTGTCCAGTCGGCAGCTTTGCAATTCCAATATTCCCTAGTTCTATTTATAATAGGTGATTCTCTTAGTTGCATCATTATTGGATAATGATCAGATCCAAGAGAATGTTTCCTGACATTCCATACAATTTTATGTGCCACCTCGTGAGTACACAATGTAATGTCTACCACTGTCGAACTATTCTTAAAATTCAAAGTCGGATTCCCGTCATTTAATATAATTAAATTGTTGTCATTAATAACTTCCAATAAGTTATTGCCAATCTTATCATTCCAATTACACCCCCATGCCATATGATGTGCATTAAAGTCACCACAAATTATGTAAGGTTTGGATATCTGACTTAATAAATCATTCCATTGACTAACAGAAATATTATAGTTAGGTACAATATATACCGAAATTATAGATAGTTGATGTTTTCCTGCACAAAATTCTATACCAGATATTTGGAATTTATTTATATCAATTGTTCCCGTATTAAAAGCTAATACTTTGTTTATAATTATTTCATTCTTAACTAGAATTGCAGTACCACCATACCCATCTTTTCTGTCACTGCGCACAGTCTTATATCCCCTGAGCGAAAATTTCCTATCACTCTTCAACCATGTTTCTGAAAATGTAGCAATATGTACTTTGTTTTCAAATAAGAAATGCTCAATACTACTTTTGTTATGTATCAAAGACCTACAGTTGAATTGTAGAATATTTGTTACCATAAAATAAATTGTAATTGTGATTGTATAATTTTCTTTTGCACATTTTCCATGCGCTCATTAACCTTAATTTCTCTTATTGTTGTCCACATCTCCTTCACTACCTATTCTATTCATTACCTCTCTTAACATTTTGTTGATGTCTTTATTATTAGGTTTGTAGTGTTTTTTAACTAGTTTGATAAATAAATTCAAAAATTCATCGGTATGTTCTTCATTGACGTTCTTTATGGTATCTACTTCTTTCTCTTTGTCTTTGTTATCAACTTCATTCCTAGTGGATACTCGATATTTTTCTCTAAAACCTTCCCTATCTGTATGCACCCTGTTCCTTTCACTTGATTCCCCTTTTGATTTATCTTCTTTTCTATTAATTATATTATTATATTTGGTTCTTTCTTGTTTTTTGGCAATGTTTCTCTTGAAGGGTCTTGTAGATGTACTGTACAATATTGATGTGCTGGCCGATACCGGTTCATCATTGTTATCTTCCAGGTCAGATAAAATTTCAAATTTATTTCTAAGAATGTTGTTGTTAATTTGTAAACTTTTCCTGCTTTCTGTGCTTATCACTGGAAATTCTTTTCTTTGTCTAAATTGGTTAGACTACCTCTGGTTATTCTGGCATACTTGTTGTTTTCTACAACTGACCTTGCTTCGTGAAAAGCTAAGTTTTGTGTTGCCATTATTTCATATATTTTCTTATATTTCATAAATATTGGGCATTCCCTATTATATGCTGCATGTTTACCAAAACACAAGCAGCATCTTAAATCGTCCGTATTTATGCAATCTTGTAAGGCGTGATTTTCTGCGCATTTTGGACATCTTACCTCTCCTCGACACTGATCACGAACGTGGCCGAATCTCCAACATTTGTGGCATTGTATTACTTTTTTCACGAATGGTGTTACTGGGCATTTAACAGAGTGGATCGCTACTTTTTCTGGTAATTTTGTCCCTTTAAAAGTGAGTTTAACACACTGTGATTTGTATGTCTTATGATTTTCTTTTTTCGATCTTATACATTTAACTCCCACTATCGGATACTCGGATTCGATGACATCCACAATTTCTTCCTCAGATAATTCGCTATCTACGTCAAAAATGATTCCGGTCCGCACCGTTAAATATTTGGGGATATACGCTCTTAGATTATTCGATTTGAAAAAATCACCATCTAATAGTCTATTAGCTGTCACACCATTACTTAAAATCAATTTTACTTTGTTTTTACCAATTACTCCAATTTCTTCCAAATTTGTTTTCATATTTGGCCATGCATCATGAATTTTTTTTCCAAGTGCCATAGGATGCAGGCGTCCTATGTTTTATTATAAGATTCTACGTATATTATATATGGTCCTTTATCGTAACTGTCATATCGTACTTTATCCTGTTCGTAATTGTCGGGCATCATTTCGTTTTCTTTGTCATTATGTTTTGTTATTTTACTCGAGTCCTCACCACAATTATCAAATTGCATTACGTTATCTAACTCATGAAAGTCATGCAACATTTTATCATTCTGATCATTTATTTCGGTATTACTCGACCCCGCACTAATATTTTCATTGGTCATTTCTTCGTTGTTTGCATAAGTTGTTGTTTCACTTAAATCCTTATCGCACTCATCAAATTGCATAACGCTACTTAATTCTTGACTGTTCCGATTTGCTTCAGTATTCTGATTGATATTTACAATATTCGATACCATAGTATTTCTTTCATTACTTGTTCCATTACTATTATTATAATTTGAAATATCACTATTATTTGTTATCTTAGACGCCGTGTCATTGTTATTATTTCCAACAGTATGTATAATATTTTCGGTTCTTCTAAGTTTGGTTGCACTTTTGCCAATTACTTTATTCATAATTTTAATTTATTATCTTCCTTAATTGTTTTATTTTTGTTACTGTTCTTTTTATCTTTACTATCTGATATTGCAGAAATTCTGGTATGTTTTTTATACTTATGTAATAATCTGTTCTTAATTACATCTACCTCACTCATGATGCTACTAGGATTTTTGTTTGAATTATAATGTACTTCTAATTCTTCTTCACTAATTTCACTCATTAACATTTCATTATCAAAACTATCATTTATCGTATTCATTGCCGTTGCAATTGTTTCACCGATTACCGAACACTTTGTTGAACAATCGGGCGGCCGTCCGCCTTCTTGTCCGTATTGTCCGGATTCCATTACGTCACTTTTTTAATATATATTCACTGAACACTTGTCGATGTTACCTGCTCCGAGGTCAAACACAAACACAAACG